TATAACATATTACATAAAATTATGTAAAATTACATATTTTGATGTAATTTTAGATATTTTTTTACGATGTATACTTAAAAAAAATATCACAATTAATTCAGGTTTGGTCTCGAAAATTCGTCGTCGCGGATTTAATAACCAGATAAATTATGTCGTGAGCGAAAGAGCCCGAGATTAGAGATCACTTTTCCTAGTGCATTCGTGAAATATATAGCAGTCGAAAAGTCTCGCATTCGATAAGCTTTTTGCTTATCGACGTCGTTTAATCATCAAATATCATTTAGAGCCGGAGTCATTTTATATTTACTCATGCTTTGTAAATGCATAAGATTTCTGATAAATCAAAGTAAACACACGTTATAGGATATGTCGTATATTCGTACCTTGTCAAAAATCATTTTTCAAGAAACCTATCACACACACACACACACACACACACACACATCATTCGTCATCTGAAGGATCGTGCTATTCCAGCATAGAAACTATCGCATTTTACGGAAAGAGCATTTATATCGCTCTTTTTTATTTATCCCGGTTGCTTTTTCCTTGATTATGGCTTTTATACTCATCAATATATATTTTATCGACAAAATCGTGAAAAAAAGCTGCTTTCACACGTCATATTTTATTCAGGCGCTTTTTACGTCAAAAAATTTCGCGTATATAATGTAAAATATCATGGTATATCTATAACACATTATCATCTAGAAATTTTCATCGAAAAAATTGAAAATATGAACGTGTCGTTTTAATGAAAAATTATATATCTAATTTTAATACGTACCATAAAACTTGGTAAGCACCGTACATAATAGAAAATATTTTTAGTTATGTTCATTACATTAGATTTGTTATAAATACAAAAACTTTGACGTTCTAAATGATTCGAGATATGTTTTAAAATCGTGAGAAATGAAATAAATTAAAAAATTATATTACCTATTAATAATTTTCTGATTAAATTATATTAATTCGTAACAAAATAAAAAATGTTTTCAACAGAGAGAGATTTCTATTCCTTTCTAGAGCACGTCTATATTTATTTTTAATAAACATCGGTGTCAATACGTGTAAATACACGTTTAATGAATTTATTTCAATTTAAGTGAGCTAGCGACGACAAAATTTAATTCCCCGGTACTGGATGCACACATCGTTTTTTTTCCATCTCTCTTTTTCCCATTGCGGATTTCCCTTTCACACGCTTTCGACTTGATATGATTATTTATCATGGCCACGATGACCGATAAGTCGGAAAACGGATGAGCGCGACAGTTTCCGCGAGTATCTATGCAAACATGGGTGCACCGCCATTTTCATCTATCATGCGATTATACTTCTTCCGGTGTCGTAAATTACACGTCATACGTGCAAATGTAGGTCATGGACCGTTAGTTGCATTCTATGTCGAGTTAGTTCAATTGCAGTTAGGCGTTTAAAGAACTATATACAAATATTAAAAAATCAAAATCATATTAAGAACAATGATTCGAAAATTGGCGATAATATTGACGGAAAGATAATTATAATTAAAAGTCTATATTTTCGCAATATATATATATCCCATTTCCTATTTTCAAATACCATAAAATAATATTATCGAGAATATCGGCGATTACATTTACAAATGATGACGATTACACAAATTCGGAACTTGAGTTACACGTGTCATAACACTTGCAAAATTGCAACACGTGTTATAGGTAATATACGGTTCGACAACTCATGGGAAATGCAAATGTGTCGAGTATTCCAGCGCGAGTATATATCATTCGTGCGTGTAATTATAAACTAATTGGCAAAGCTAAGCGTCATAAAATCAAATACACATCAATCTCTTTGCAATTTACTCGCGCGCTTTTGATATATGATTCTGCGTTAATTTTAACGGGACGTTTCAAGTAGAAGACAAGAAAGAAACTTTGTGTATATGCGAAACGACAGTCGCAAAATAGCAGTTTCAACGATCGTGTAACAGTTTCATACGCGCATAATGATTTATGATTCATATACGTAATGCGCGATGCATCTGGCCGATATGCAAGTGAATATCCAATATTTCAAGAACGAATTTATTGGCAATCGCGCAGCGTGATTAATTAATATATATGCAGTACGTCGAATAAATTATACGTGTCACATTCGGCATACATCTTCATTTTCAGATACTCTAATCCGTAGTTCGTTCACATTTCGAAAATTTGTGTTTTCTTTGTTAAAAATGGTCCCCGTTAAAATTTTTCTGTTAAATATTTAACACATTCATACGTTAATTTAACATGTTGCTATTGTGTTCACTGTATTCAAATATTAAATTATTAAAACAACTGAAAAAAGTGTAAAAATAACATAATATGCATCTATTTTTAATTTTACACACAATAAATACACTGAAAAAATTTATTAAATTAAATGTAACATAATAAATCTATCAAAACGTATATTTGATTTAAATACTAATATATCTTCAATTAACGAAATAGTAATTTGGTTGAAAGATTTAGTTAAGTTAACAATTTTTTTCAGTGTACGTTCTGTTTTATTAGTGACAAGATTTGTCTGTTAAAATTTACAGAAAAATGTTGATTTTTTTATTAACATATTTTTAGTTAATTTTTACATTGAAACTATGTTAATGTTACACAAAATTAATTTAAAATCACTTTAATATTAAAGTTTTGCATTTATTTTGCGTTAACAATACGAATCATTGAATATTACGTTAAATAAGCACGAACATTTCTGTGGGACACGTGATATCTGTCAAATTGGAGAGAAATTTTTCAACTGCGTGTTCGAAACAAGATATTCGTTCATAATAGCGATTCATGATATTCGGTATGATCTGGTTATCGTAAAATCAACGATTTGCCTGTCGCAAATTATACACGATGTAATCAAATGCACGTCGAACTCGATGATTGCGCTGATCTGCAAAATGACGCGCGCAGGCAGGAAAACGAGAGAAGGATGGACGGAACCCGCGCGCGCGCGTTTAATATTTCCGATCTGCCATATATGTAGGTGTGCATATATATGTATATGTATATTCGCATTGCTGCGCATTTCATCAACCCGGGACCGAATCACGGAAACGTCCCGCCGGCTGTTCCCGACCGCTGTAATCGTTTCAGGAACAGAGGCCTCGCATTATGCCCGCACTCAACGTGCCAAATAACACGGCTAGTATAAAGGGAAGTATGTGCACAGATGCAGAATAGAGACGACTAGAGAGGATACCTGGGACAAGAGAAGTGCCGAAAGCGTATCACAAACAGAAAGCGGAGTTTCATAGAAAATGAAGTTAGAAAGAGAGAGAGAGAGAGAGAATTGGCAATCGGCTAGATGCGATGCAATTTACATCTCGATTACGAGATTGGCTTTCGCATGGGACTCGCTCTTGTGTGTTTCTGCAAAGATATTTATATCGTTCTATATTTATCTCGTCAAAGGTCATCGTGGCCAGATCGAAGCTCTCCGGGAAAAAAAAAAAAAAAAGTATGTAATGCCGGCAGACTGGAAATTTTCCAGAAAATAAGTACTCGAGTTTCTTTTTCGAGAAAAAGAAGGGAAGAAAATTGGATTTGGCCGCTTCATGCGGTGTCTTTAGATTTGTTCCACGAGTAGCGAGAAACACGAAACGGAAGTAGTTTTCTCTAGTCTTGTTTAGAGAGAAAAGAAAGCAAGGAGAGTGAAATATAATCGATCATGTGTAATCTAAAATTGAAACGTATATACAAATACAAAATTGTTTGATATTATATTTGATATTCTACAATTTATTAAATTTGCTTTACCTCGATAAAATATTACGTTGATAAAAAATTGTTGAATTGTTAAAATTTTGTAAATATAGTATAAAATCTATTGGATAATAAAATTCAGAAAATATATAGAGTAAGAAATTTTCCAATAATTCAATATTATTTTCATAACTTCGGTAATTATTAAACAAATATTTTTAGCAATTAAATAATTACTAATTTAATAATCGTGACATCATTGCGATGCTATAATTTCTGTGAACAGCTTTTCAAGCATCTTCTTAAATTTCATAGCAAATGCGAGAAAAAGAGAGATCCGTATCGTCGACTGTTAAATCGATCGAGATGCGATAAAATAGATAAAACAGAAAAAAATTCTGTCTCCATTCGCGCGTTTTGCATAAAATAACGCGTACGTAAGCTCGCAAGAGTTCTTGCCATTCCGTAGAGAGGGAGAAGAGACCTACGATGGCTCTTGATTAAAATCTCCGAGGTTCGCAAGTTTAGCCCCACGGCAAATAATTCTTGCCAAGTAGCGTAATATAGCGCTGTAATGAAACGTAAACCAAAGAGTCGCATATTTAAGCCACCATTTTAGTAATTCGGCAAGAATTTTCGCTCACGGCAAAAAGTATTTAACCCCCAACTCCCTTTTCGGAGTTGCTCCCAGACGATTTCCCTTTGTGTAGTCACGTTGACAGAGTTTCACGATGTCACTGTGTTTAAACGAGCCTGCGGGAGAGAGATCTGCGGGTCAGATATTAAATTAATATCTACATGCGCCGGGTCAAGGATGGTGCAAGTAAACGTGAATTGGGGCGTTTCATGTTTAAATACCGTTTTGTATTATTGGGCCGCGCACTCTGTTAGCGCTTTCCAGCGGGCATCGCTTCATAAGTTTACATTATAATCGTGATTTACATCAGTTACATATATAGTTCTGTAAATTTACTCTCGCGTTTCACGAATTCTCTTTACGAATTAATTCTACATCAATTTTTACGAAATAATTTATTAGATAGATCAATAATCTGGGTCGTCGATTTGTATTGAGGGATTTTTATATACGCAAAACTCTTGTAAACATAAATATTTAAATGTTATGTTTAAGAGCGACGTTAGTTCATACATTTACGATTGCTAATTTATGATAATTGTGAGAATTTATGTTAATTTGATCGCGCAATTAAGATGATTTTCAAGTAAAGTAACAAAATATTATTTATCTCGCAGATGAATGTGATGACGCAACCGGAAGCCGGTGCGTCGGAGTCGGCTACGCCGGAAGAGAGTGGAAAAACCTTGAGCAGATTGCTAGGAAACATCATGGCGACTGGAAACGGTGAGTCTCCTTTTTATTTACCTTGATATTTTCCATTAAATTGCGCACGATTATTATAACAAAATCAGAAATATTATACGAAACATATTTATATAAATAAATATTTAATCATACGTAGGAAATTAACTTTTTCCATATTAAAAGACGAGTATTAAAATCTTATTCGAAATATTATTTTTGAAAGATAAACTCTCTCCGTCAACTCTCTTGAAAATATTTAAACTTTCAAAAGAATAAATAATTTCTCTGAAATATATTCCAATTAACGACCAAGTTATTTCCGCTGCACTCGTAAAACGAGTCTCCGACAGTCTCGTATATAAATAGAAGAATTATACAATCCTCTCCATCATATTCTCACGATAATTTCGTTTGTCGTCACATTGACGTCACGTGACGTCAACTTGAATTCGTTCGTGCAGTTTCCTCGCTCTGGTACCTGACCTGACTGCAAAATACAGCCACTTTCGTACCATGTATTTCATTTGCGAGCGCATCCTCCATTTTACGACGATCTGAGCCATGAGTCGAATTTATACTCATTTTTTTGCGTGCATTTCTACGTTCGCGTGCAACCGTGCGTAATGTGCAAACAGTGTGTGCCGAGTAACTCTTACATAAATATCACAGTCATGTTTGTCCAATTATACAGCGGGACACCGTGCTGGGAGACAAGTATAGATAGAAGAGACCAATGAGAGTCGAGGATATAGTCGAGCAAAAGCGTTTCCGCGCTTTTCATCGAGCGCGCCGCGCTTTCCTTTTCCTCTCATTTTACACGAAGCGCGATGAAAAGCCTTGTACTCGGCAGCCGCGAGAAATATTAATCCCTGGATGCATGGCTTCTCTCTTAATGAAGGTTCGCAAAACCTCAAATGGCAGACGAGTTATTTCGACAAATCTCGATTGAGTAGCGTTCGGAGACGTAGGTTCCTTTCAAATTTATTCTGAAAATTATCTAAGGGTGTCCAGCTGACTCGATGAAAAAAATTCCCTGATTTTTTCAGATTTTCCAAGACCGGAAATTCATTTTTTTCCTGACTTTTTAATATTATTTTTTCCAAATATATAATTTGCATATCTCTCTCTCTCTCTCTCTATCTACGATAAATCAATTAAATGTTAAATCATGAAATTCTTGAGATATTTTTGTCAACAATGAAAATGTTCGGAAGTTTAAAAAAAATTTAATCGATCATACAATCTGCATTATGTACGATTTTATTTATATTATATCAAATTTTTCAGTTTTATCTCTATTAAACACATTGAAGTAAAATAACACGACGATGAAAATATAAATTAACAAACAGCTGTAGATGAATCGATTGTTAACAACACAGAAAATTGGGAGTCAAGGAAAAGTTTATATTTATTTAATAAAAATTTCAATTATTAAGACAAATGTAGAATAATGTGAAAAAATCCAGATAAATAGTAAAATTACCCGACTTTTCCCTGACAATTCCAGATTTATAAAATTCCCTGACAATGCCCAGTTTTCCAGATTTCGCTGACCACTAGACACCCTGTATATTCACGGTGTTACTTTGCGCTAATTTCTCAGATTTCGAGATTCAAGAGACGATTCCATAGCGCCTCTTTGTCGTTCGCTACATTTCCCATATTTCCTAATTTTGCCAATAAGGAAGCGTATTATATCGCGATATGAAAACGACGCGAAAGCGCCGGAGAAATGCAGAGAGATGCATGACGAAAATGCAGCAATGCCACTGTTAAATATGAAAGAATTAAATTTAAACCAATTTCTTGAGTTAAATTTGTTTACCTACCATATGTATCAAATTTATTATTTTAACAGAAAATATATATAGTTAAAAACACTTTTTATTAAGTCAAAGGGTTACATTAACTTATACACCTGATAAATAATAAACTAAATTTTAGTCTAAAAATTTAACACATTTTTTAAATTAAAAATTATTAAACTCCCTTGTTTTAATTAAATTAACAACATATTGAGTAGAAGCAGTGGCGACCTAGTAATAGGAAGAATATCGTAAGAGGAAATCTCGCGTGCATTTACAGTTGCAATAATAATCTCGATGCACCTGCGCAAAAGCTCAAACGGCAGAAAAGTTATTTCGACGAATCTCGATTGAGTATCGGACACGTAAGTTTCTTTAAAATGATATTTAAAATCATCTATTGTAGAAAAAAAATGGATGGAGAATATAAGGAAGAGTGTCGTAAGAGGAAATCTCTCGTCCATTTAATGAAAGGCTAATTGGGATCGCAGTTGCAATAATAATCTCAGTGCACCTGCGACCCCGCTTACAGTCAGCTGTTATCTCGATTCGATTCGATTCGATTTTGATTTATGTGCTGTCGCGCAAGTTGAAGAAACGTCGTACTGCAATTTATCAGGGTTCGGCATTGTTAAATATGTCGATTTATCTAAAGCTTTTGTTGCCAGGCTTCGTGAATAGACTTCCTATCGAATGAAAATTATTCCGCTCCACGAATTGATGACTTTTTAAATACGCGGGCGTAACAATATTTTAGCGATCGCGTTTTCCATTCTTGCACCATTTATTCGCTATAAACAAACGTAATTAATAGTCTCGTGCTTGCACGGAACTTTAATACACTTTACTCCGTTAAAAGCGAAGATACGAATTAAATTTGCATCTTTTTCTTTTATACATTACACGTTTCGCGTCGATGGGAAAGAGATCCGCGGAATTCTATCTCGCATATCCAGAAGATCTCAATTTACACAACCGCGTTTTTCACAAAGTTTAAAGGTTACCCTCGGAAAGGTTCACGAGAATGTACCCAAAATACACACCGATGGATCATTCATAGCCGATTTGACACTCGCTCGGAGAAGATTCCGATGATTGAGCGATTCATCATTGATCGACGACGAAAGTTAATCTCGAAACTGATTTTTATGTTACAAATTTAAAGCTCGATTTTATGGATTTCGTGGCATTTACGAGAGGGAAATAAAGAGATCCGAGAGCATAATTTACGGAAGCACGGTGCGCAAGCAAAGTTTATCTCTTCGTTGGATTCTGGAGAAGAAAGAAACGATACTCGCGGAAATCCACTAATCGAGATAAAGAGAAAGAAAAAGGTAGAATGGAGGATCTCTTCTCTCTCTCTCTCTCTCTCTCTCTCCAGGGAATGAGACGTGGCCGGAAAATGCGAAAGAAAAAAAATCTCGCCGCGATATACATCGAAAGCTTATTTTACTTCGATCCGAAAAAAACTCTAATAACGAAGGAAGAGCGGAGAAAAAGCGTGATAAAAATACTCGCTAGGCGAGTTAACCTCGGCGAGATGCAAGGCGGGATTTAAATTACAGAGATTCGTTAAGCTGCGAAAGAAGTTTCTCCTCTTCCTCGAAAGGCTTATTCTTTTCTCGTTTCGTGATGTGAATCGCACCACAAGTTTTTCCTTTTTTTATTTAATCTCGCGTCTCAAATAGTCTGTTTAACGACATAATGCCGCATAAAAACGTATTACAAACTCATTTATCCTTAAACAAGAAATGCTTCGTGATTATTTTTTACACGATATATTGTAGCGATTTAATATTAATATATAATTGGAAGAACTAAAATTGTTTATTGCATCCGTATAAAAAATATTAGCGGCAGTCTTAAAATTGTCTTAAAACATTATTGGAATAATTGAAAATAAAAATGTATATTAAATAAAAAATTACAAATTATTCTATGTCGACAAACAATTTAAATCACGAATTAAATTTAATTTAAAAAGTCCAGTATGTGGCACATTAAATTTTTATTCCGAAAAAAAATATGATTTCTGAATAAGACATGTCAAACTGTGAGAAGAGGATTGCGTCAAGTCTTTTGACAAGGCCGGCTTTGCGAAGATCGATCTCAGACCTAATCTTCTTCAGGCTTAATAATGTTTTGTTCACGCGATCGTTAGCTAACGATGTTTAAGCCTTTAATAACAACGATAGGGAAGAGATAAAGGGAAGCGAATTAATGTCGTTTTCCTTCTCAACAAAATGGGCAGTTCTAATTAATCCATTCTATCTTTTCCCTCCATTCCGTCTCTTTTATTGACGATGATTCGCATCTTTAGAGTTTAGGAATTTTGCCCAGAACTTTTTACAGATCTCACTATACTTATCGTTAATGAAGCCTTCCGATGTGCAGTCCTTCGGAAGAAAAACGGATGAGTTACTGATAAAACTTTCTGTAAAACATCCTAATTATTTTAGCGGATATGGTTTGAATTATTAATAGCGCTCAATCAACAAAATAATAATTTTAAATTGTAAAAATAAGACGAGATGATATCAATAAATATTTTTATATCAATACAAATTAATAGATATTAACAAATATTTATAAAATGTTAATTTAGGAAATAAAAATAAACTACTCGCAATTTCAAGAGATAAGCGGGAAAAGAATGTAGGGCTTTCGAGATACTGCGAAATTAGGAGCATTATCGGGAGAAGGGTTGCGTTCCTAAAGAATGGCCGCTGACAACATCCCTTTTCATTTGCTCCCTCGCTAGAAATTTGAGCTAGTCGCACGAGAGTAGTCGAACAACGACGATGGGAGAGAGAGACTGAAAACGGTGGAGTCTCGTAAAGCCGAAATAAATGACAAGGCACGGACGAGATCGAAAATCTTGAAGAGAGGAGAGAAGGAAAATGGAAAGATCGACGATGCGGGAAACTTGGCGAGATCGAGAATTGAGTGAAAAATGCGAGCTTACGTTACGGGAGGCTAGAATACAGAGATACAAAATGACACGGGAGGGAATGCGCGGACGTCGTCGAGAGAGAAACGTCATGGATTCGTAATTGTTATTTACACTTGGAGCAGGACGCTTTCTCGAGCGCTTCGCGCGATCTGACGTTCGCAATTCCCGCGAGCCCATCAACGATGCACGTGCTCTCTCTCTATTCCCCCGATTTTCTATCAATTTGGGATTTTGATACTATTGGACAGGGTTGGGTAAGTTGATAATTTTTTGAAACT